TAAGTGTGTATGCATGTATGACTTTCATTTTGTTTATGAAGCTAGCTCTATTGTGCATATTCTCTTCAATGAATATGTATTATTTTTGGCATCATAAATCATGAATGCAAATAGAAATCATTTAAAAACATACTTAGTTGATGACAGCACCATGTATATAATTTCACTAGCTGGGATTTCAAGCTTACTTCCTCTGCCATGCACAACTCACACAGCCTTGGACCAGTCACTGCTCTAGGACTCAAGTTTTCTCCAAAATAAAGGGGTGACAATGTCTCTGAATTCGTGGGATAGGTGGTGGAGCATTAGATAGTGTTGTAGGGAAAATATGGGCTCCAATTCTTGGTTACACTTGGCACTAAATGTCAGCTTCCCAAAAAAGAAGCAAAGTTTCTAATACTTCCAGCAATCCTCGGTCTGTTCTCCAGTGGTCTGTGTCCTGAGCAGTTGGTAGGGCCAGAGTTCAGAAGTGGGGTTGTCTGAGATTTTTGTTCACTAGGGCTGCTGTAACAGATCACCACAAACCTGGTGGCTTAAGACAACAAAATTGCATCTGTTCATGGTTCTAGAGGCTAGAAGTCCACAAGTAAGGTTGCACAGAGCTGTGTCCCTTCTTGAGGTCCATGGAAGAATCTCTCCTTGCCCAATGGAGTTTCTAGTATCTGCTAAGAACCTATAGCCTTGTTTACCTTGTAGCTGCATCACTCCAGTCTCTGCCTCTGACTTCACAGACTCCTCTCCTGAGTTTCAGGATGCCTCTGATCCACCAGTCACACTGGAGTAGGGTCCAGTATGACCAGCATGGCCTTAACTTGATGATGTCACATTCACAGCAACCAGGGCTTAGGACTTCAACTTGCCCTTTGAGAGGATACAATTCAGTCCTTGACAGACACCAATCCTCTCTCTATAAACATCACCAATGAGAGCAAAGCAGGGACACATGGCCAAGGACCCAGGAGTACAAGGAAGGCTTAGAGTCATCTTGGAAAAGATTCGTGCTCCCACTACAGGCTGATGGGCTGAAATGGTCCAGCTGCCATATGTGAATGTGTGGACATTCTCTGAGTTTTCTCTGGTTCTTGACTCTTTCCACTTGGTTCTGTATTTCTCTGCTCTAGCAAAGCATGCAGGAGAAGCAAATAGAAGAAGCTACTTAAAGATTTCCTTTTATTTTCCATTGTGTCACTAAAACATAAACTTATTACAGCGAGTGTGCCTTGAGTTACAGATAAGGATTGCTTTTAAGGGGTAAGGGGTAAGGAGGGGCTGAAAAAGTTCCTACCCTGGGAAGGACACAGGACAATGTCTGCTGGTCCCATCATGCTCAGTGACAGTTGGAAGAGGGTTCCCAGAAGGGATGTTAGGTGGATCCCTGGGGCTGGATGGATCCATGTAATAAGTGCTCCCAGCCTTAGAAAGGAACAGAATGATAAAGGGACCACAGGAAATGTAGGGAGGAGATCACAAAATCTAATTTCCATCCCTCGCACATTCACAGAACCCTAGGAAAGGAGATGCTCTGGTAGTGCCTAAATTTAACACATCAACTTCCTAGGGGTTCAGGATCAAAGTCAAGGTGATATAAAAGAGAGAAGCAAACTCACCATTTCTTATGTACCTAGGGGTACTGCCTGAGATTTGACTGTACTTTATTCCCGATCCTTAAAACAATACTGCACAGCTTTAGAAGGAACCTCCGAACCACTGTACTTTTAAAAGGACACGAAGAGCACTGCATTTTCCATCAGTCTCACCAGATCCTTCTACACGGCTCTGGGCCACAAGTCAGGACTGCCATGGGGGAAAAGGCTAGCAGCTGTTAGCTCCATGGGCACCACAGACACAACATAGCCCTGAAGACAGAATCTGTGGGTATGGTAGCCCTCAATCCCCTGTGACAGCCCCAGTAAAGATGGCATGGGGGAAACCAGGTCTGAAGGCTGAGGTCTTTTCTTGTAGGGAAAGAAGAGGAAGACTGTGGGGTGCAGCCTTCAAGTTACGGGGCTGAGCTAGAGGCAGCCAAGCCCTCCGGGCAGCGATGCATCCTAGGAAGAGGAAAGTCTCTCTGGCCTGTTGGGGGCATGGATGACCTCCTGCTGGGCAGCTCCCTTGAAAAGCAACACTGGGTACAGGTAAGCCTGAAGGAGGGGCAGGTTCTAGGATGGACTTAGACCTTCTGCCACAAGACACTGTAGGGATCGGGGAAGAACCCAGGTTACCCAACACTGACTGAGCTCTGCCTTAAGCAGATAGTTCACATACACATGTATCTTCCATTAAACACTCACACTGGTCCCCAAGTTAAAATAAGGAAACTGAGGCAGAAAGACTGAGGATCCAGGGTTGCTCAGGTATAGTGTAAGACTGAAATAAGCTCATCTGTAAATATGTCTGTAGCCAGGGCTTTGAAGTCAAAAAACAGGATACTACAGGTAGAACAGAGATGGTTTTTGGATCAACAGATGAGAAAGGATCTTTTCAGGAAGGTGTGTGAGTTAAGACCTAAAGGAATCATCCAAGTGAAAGGTGGAGAAAATCCCAGTGAGAGGGAACAACATGTGCAAAATTCTTGTACCAGGAAAGATTCTGAACTATCCAACAAACCAAAAACAGCCAAGGTGTCTGGAGAGAAAAGAAAAGGGTTCAGACCTTACAGGCCACGGTGAAGAATTCAGATTGTATCTATATGCCAGATCCCTGAAGGGGTTAAATGTCAAAATGATATGGTTAGATTCACTCAGACCAAGTATAACCCACAGCTTGCCACACAAAGGGAATCTACGAAAGGCTGTGGACTATCTGAACAAATAGATTCAAACTAGATTTCGGAAAAGATATAAACTTCTGGATGTACAGAAGAAATAAGATTTTGGCCTTTGCCCATGATAAGAACAAACAGTTTTGCCTAATCCAAATTTACTTTCATGCCGCTCTGCTCAAGCAGCATGCAGAGCCACTAAAATCCACAGGCACATCATAACAGAATAATTTCAGTGATCATTATCAAATGCCTTATTTAGAAAAGCTCAGAAGATTGTATCAGCACAATCCAATATTTCTGAAATGACACTCTGCTGTAATGAGGGACTGAAAAATTTAAGATTAGAAGTAAGCATGATGTCTTGGGGGAGAGACAATGGCATGGGGGAAAACAGCAGTCTCCCTCAGCTGCTTGAAATCTCAGTTTTCTAATCTGTAAGATGGGAAGGACAGTAGCAAAAGGAAAAAATATGTGATCAGTTAGTGTGATCAGTTAGTACAGAGCCCCAAGGCCTTTGATAATGTTTACCATTCATTTCTTCATTATAAAACCACTTGATTAAGACTATTTGCCCATCCATCCATGCATCCTTCTAACAAGATGTCATTTAGTATACACTGCATGACACACTGCATTAGGCACTGAAGATAAAGCTATGAATGATACTGTCATGGTTTCTAGTGACAAAGAACATCTCATCTAGGGGCAAAACACACAAAGAACAAATAACACCAGCTATGATGCATGTCACTGGAAATAAATGCACTCTGCAACTGGAATCATTACAAGGACAGCTGGTCCAGAATGAGGGAGGAAGAGGAAGTACTGGACAATAAGGGGGAGGAAAGAGTTCCATGACAGACCCAATGTTATATGATTTCCTGAGGCAGGGAAGTCAAAATGTTCTAGAAACTGACAAGAGCCAGAGGAACCTGAATACAGGGGAAGTGGAAATGGATGCAGGAGGAGGTTGAGATAAGATCAGCCATTGGGCCTAGAGGTTGCAAAAGGTCTCTGGTATTCTCAGAGCAATAGAAACCCTCTGAAATGTTTAATTTTGTACTGCATCACAGCTTTATTATACCTAAGTCTTCTGTCAACTCTCTAGAGAAACAGATACAATGTATGTCCTTAATAGGAATAGACAGAGCGACCCAATGGCCTCCTGCTTTGGAGTCAAACTCAGTCTATAAGGCCACTCCTTCTCTAAACACTTCTGACTGTCTTCTATGTCTCCAGCTTAGTCAAATCTAAAAAAAAAAAAAATCCTTCTGGAGAAGTTGCCTAGAACACATGATAGCCAGGTAGTGGGCTATGTAGGCCTAAAGTTCCTGAGAAATGTGAAGGCTGGAAGCATTGGAATTACCAGTGTACAGACAGTAGCTGGAGCTATGGGAGTAGGGAGGCCATCTGTGGAAAGAGTATCAAGCAAACTCGAAGAACTTCAGCATTTAAAGGTCAGAGTAAGCTTACAAAGGAAAATGTGTCAGGAAGGACTGGCAGAAAACCAAGACGGTACATGGGTTACAAGAGCCTCTGGTCAAGGAAGACCTGTAGAGAATGGCTATCTTCTCCAACAACCATTGTCTCCCCAACTCTACCAGAGGGTAATCTTAACTTTCTAAGAGCTGCAGTTCTTTCTGGTTCATAACACCAGGTAAGCCTTTTAGAGATTCATCTCATCCATGTATGCCCTACTCAAAAGGTATTCTGAGTATGACGTACTTACCCCAAAGTACATCAGCTGTAACTCTCAGAGCTTGCCGCATGCAAGTATCCAACAAGAATTACATTGGGCCTTCAAACCCATGGGTGAAAGGAAAGCTTGGTATTCAAATTATTGGGGTACTAGCACCATAAATAATATTCTGATTTTAGGAGTTCCCAACCTGTGTCTATGTGGCCTGGAGTAAAGAGGATACTTCACATTCTCATGTATCTCTTTCTTCTCCTAAAATCCCACTACTATCAAACTTCAAATCAAAACCTAGTGATGCCTTGTGTATAGCTAGAGCTTAGAATCTCAAAAGTTAAAGGAAACCCTAAAGGTCCCCAAATCCTGGTGACATGTACTCTCACTATATTCTCAAGAGTTCACTCTGAGGACAGAGAACTCACTACCTTCAGTTATCTATTGCCCTTTCAGACAGGTCAAACTTAGGAAAGTTCTTCCCCCATGAGTCATTGCAAAAGGTAGTTATTGCCATTATAGCCCCAAACCTAATGGATCACGTACCTGTGGGCACTGCTGGGTCCAGCATTGGTTTCTCCCACGTGTTAATCTGCTCCCACGTGAACCCATTGGTCCCCAGAGCCACACTATAACCACAGTTGCTGTAGTGCTCATCAAAGGAACAGCCTCCTGCAGACAAAAGAGAGATGAGTAAATACATCCCCATGTCTGAGTCTTGGTTCATTACCCCTGTTTCATTGGCTCTTCATTTACAGCTTTGAATTTTACACTCTAGAGAAGACTGAAAAAAAAAGGCAAGCAAATTGGATTTTTATATTAGCTTTGGTGCTCTCAGGAAAGACACTGGCATCTGCAGGCCCCCCTATTTAAAAAGTTAATAAGGCTAGTTACATTGATTTCAATCTCCCTTCCTGAGAAAGTAAACAGCAACGTCTCATTCTAAGCAGGAAAAATGAATGCCAGGGCATGCCTCTGTAATTGCTTCCTGCAACATAGAGGATTTCTGGGATGCAGCAGAAAGAGCACTTGCTTCAGAGCCTAGTACAACTGGACCCATCCTTTAACTTTACAAAGCTGAGTGAGCTGGGGTCACATGCTTAACACCTGTGTGTCTGTTTCTCTCTCTGTAACAAAAGAGAAAATATCTACATTACAGAAATATCATTAAATGGATTCACATGAAAAAAATAATTGGTACAGAATACACTCGCCATACCTACTTCCTTCTCTATACAAACGCAGTCTAAAAAATCAGTTTTTATTGAGTAAGAAGTTAATCAGTGAGAAATCAGATAATCATACTCCTAGAAGATAATACAGTCAATGTTGATAGTGTTTAAAGTTTTCCCTCTAACCTAAAGTTCAAGCCATCCACCATTTGACAATAACTTATGCCCATCTGATTCTGACAAGAGCTTTGAGTGGTAAATTCCCTCAGGGTGACAGTAGAAGGGATGTTAGATGTAGAACAGAGGGTTCAACTAAGAGATACTTATGTGACCAAGGAAAGAGGAACCTGCTATATTCTGGAGAGATTGGGAAAATAAGAGGAGGAGAATTAATCAGAAGAATGGCAGCATCTCCATGAGGAGAGAGCAGAACAGGGATGGGTATTCCAGTGGGAGCCCATAGGCATGAGGGAATAGCAAAAATAATCTCACACCAGCATACTGTCTGGTTTCCCAGACCCATTTCATACATTGTCTATCTTTTCCACTGTTCCTTTCCTGTCTCCTTGATGTTCAGAGATTTCATCATACCATCGTCGGCCTCCATTAAACACCCATACAATCCCCCATCACACACAGAATGTCTGCTGTAGAGTAAAGGCTATGTGCCAAGTGTTCCTGGGAACAGCTGATTGAGATCCCTTCAGACTATGAATTTAAATGAGAGAAGGAAACCATGGCCAAGACACGGCTCTGCATGTCAAGAGGCTTCATTTGTTGCTCTTGCATACACAGAACAAAGTTTCCAGGCCTCCCTGCATCCACAGATGACCATGTGGCAAATGCTGGGAACCTGTAATAAAATGATAAAGCAATACCAACCATATACAGGACTAGCCCATCAACATAATCTCTTAAAGGCAATCCTTTTACTTTCCCCTGTGAGGACTTTCAATGCTGTGGCAGAGAAGTGGTATCCAGGGAAGAAGTCTAAATCCTTAAGAAAGAGAGCCACCCAGAGACTTGCCTGACCAGTAATATCAGTTCTTAAATTCTTAATTTTTTGCCCTCTCCTTTTAGTTTTTTGCCTTGAATATTTGATTTGCTCTGTTGGGCCTCACGGTGTTGTGATCTTCATTGTCTTTTCCTAGGATATATTTTAGAATTCCTTGTAGTGCTGGTTTGGTATTCATGAAGTTTCTCAGGTGTTCTTTGTCATGGAAGTATCTTATTTCCCCATCCATTTTGAAAGAGAGTTTTGCAGGATACATCGGTCTAGGTTGGAGGTTGTTTTCTTTTAGGACTTGAAATACCTCACTCCAGGCTCTCCTTGACCTGAGGGTTTGTGTTGAAAAGTCAGATTCTGATGGGCTTTCCTTTGCATGTGATTTGTTTCTTTTCTCTTACTGCTTGTAGTATTTTGTTCTTCTGTTGGGTTAATCTTGGATCTTGATTATTCTTTGTCTAGGTGTAGATTTTTTTTTGATCATGGCTAGTTGGAGTCCTATATGCCTCACACTTATCTGTATGTCAAATTCTTCCCCTATGTTTGGGAAGTTTTCTGTCATTAATTCTGTGAACAGCTTTTTTAAGTCGTTTGCATTTTCTCCTGCTACTTCATGGATTCCTAACAGTCTTATGTTATTCTTCTTTGCATCATCTAGGAGGTGTTGGATTTGTTTCTCATGATCCCTTACTGTTTTTAAGAGACCTCTCTTTTCATGATCAATGTCTAAGATCCTATCTTCTCTATCTGAAATTCTATCTTTGCATTCTTTTATTCTGTTGTGTACACTTTCAATAGTTTTTAATCTCTTAGATATATCAGTACTTAACTTCTGGAGAGCAAAATTTAAACCTTTTTTTCTTATACCATTGATTTCTTAGGCTTTAGTTGTTAACACAGCCGAGCTTTGCACATCCTGACTAATACAAGAAGTGTCATACCTCAATACAATGATTTTTAAAAATAACTTAGAAGCATGCTTTCCCAGGTATCTACTCCAGCAAAACAATATATCAGACACTGATTGCTTATGTTGTCTGATTAGCTTTCACTTAGTTCTCACAAATGTGAGGTACATTTTATCCCTACTTTAAACATAGGTAATTGGTGCGAAAGGAACTAAATGAACTGTTCAAGCCACACAGAAGAAAAGTGTTGGAGCCAAGATTGAATCCATGGCAAACTAACTACAGATATTGCATGCTCTTTCTAATAGATCAAAGAGAAAGTTACTCCCCCAAACCAAGTACAAATCTTTCTATTTTAAGATAAAAAGAGAGGACCAGGAAGACAAAAGGCTCTGAAGGTAATTGGTCCTCTCAATTTGAATCCATGCCCTTGTTTATTCCAGAAACATTTTTAATAATGGCCTTTTTTAAATGGGCTCTGTTCAGTGATACAGGACTGACAAATGTGATTTGCATCTGAAATGTCCTCCAAAGGCCATGTGCTGGAGGCTCTGTTGTCAGCTGACGGCTTCACTTTTGGGAAGGGACTGGACCAGGAGGGCTCTAATTTCATTGATGGATTATTCTATTGATGAGTTCATAGCTCATTGGGCTTATTAGGTGGCAGGGCCTACTTGGATGAGGGAGGTCATAAGAGTGGGCAATGAGGAACTAATCTGGTACTCAACTCTTTCCTCTTGGGTCCTTTCTCCTTCTCTTTCACTCTGCTTCCCAGATGCCATGAACAGTTTTGCTTCACCACACCCTTGCTCCACGAAGTTCTGCCTCATCCTAGACCCAAGCAAGTAAACCACCTGTCCATGGAACTGAACCTCTGAAACCATAAGCCAAAATGAACTTTTCCTCCTTTCTAAATAATGTCAGGTACTGTGTCACAGTGATGCAAAGCTGACCAACACAACCAATGTGATCCTTATCCACACAAAGTTTGCTGAGCACAGGGAAAGACAAACACACAAACACAGATGCTTTCATGCAGAGGTTTTGTTGCTCAAACAAGAAGTAATTTTAGTTAATGGATTAATTACACAGGTTCTCTGCCTTCTTCTAGACAAGAATGGGGAGAGTTCACAGGTAAACTTTTGGGCATCCCACATCATGAATCACAAGCAAGGTCACCCTGACAATTGGCCTTAGTCTGCTGGCCAGTTGCTCCTTTCCTTCCTTCTGAGCAATCATAGGTAGACAGCTATTTCTGCACTGACTGCTGACTGGTCTTGACCCTCTGAGGATTAGGGACACATCTCCTCTTCACAGCCATTTCCTAAATCACCTGGCTTTCACCAACTGCTGAACTCCAATCAAATCAATCAGCACACAGTTTGAAAATGTTTTTCCTTTTTAGGAGTCTGACCTTTGACACTGGGGTCCCAGACTTCTTGTGGAGGTGGGGGCACCGGGGATCAAACTCGGGACCTTGTGCTTCTTGCAGTGAACATCGTCAAAGCTGTGGAGGAGCACTCAGAGTGAAACCAAAAGCAGCCTTTCATTCTGTTTTGAGCCACTACTTCTATGAGATATTCAGTCCCTGCATCCAGTCCCATGACATTCTGCTGAAATTCGTCATCCCTTATGAGACCATCAATGTCCCTCCTAAAGAAGAGTCTCTAGAAACAGGTCTCTCTGTACAGCCCCCCCAAACCCAAATTTTTGCAGAACTTACGGATCATGACTTTTCTGTGGGGCTCCTGGACTCCCAGCAAAGCAGGAAGTAAGGGTAAGGCCAGGTAAAGTTAAATGCCCCACCATGTTTTGGATAAAATGAGAACATAGACTACAATTCAAGGGATATGTCTAATTGGTCAGTGGTACAGCCTAAATAGCCTCAAAATAGAATCAGGAGGTAAGGCAAGGCAGTAAAATTAAATAGGGCAGGGCCAGGGATTTAGCTCAGTGGTGCCACCACCTGCCTCCCAAGCGCAAGGACCCAAATTCAATCCCCGGTACAAAAAAAAAAAAAAAAAAAAAACCCAAA